AGTAAAACTTAGTGTTTGTCACCAATAAATGATAATACTAAATTTTTTTGTTAATTTATTCTCCAATGCCACTACTGCTACATTGGTCCCCTCCCAACTTGGCCCCTACCGTTTTTTAAGAAAATTTGTAATGCTTGTGATTCCATCTGGGCAAAAATCTAAAGATCTGAAATAACTTTATATCAAACTATTGATCAATAAACAGCTACTAATGAAGTATTTGGTCCTGTTGAGCAGTAACTGAAAAAATAAGGGAAGCTTGGCGAGCAGTGTCAGCAACAGGGAGCATCGCTGCCTGTGAGGGGAGTATGGCCACCCGAACCTGACATTGCTACCCAAAGAAGAGCTGAGAGACTGCCTAATACTTCCCTCGGGTGCTCTAATGTCTTACGGAAACTGAGGAGGCTGTGTCTAGTCTGCCTGAAGGGCAGGCTGGTTGGTGTTTGTTTTTTAATTTTAGAAGAACTGAAAGATTATGAAGGTGATTTCACTATAAAGCTAGTCTATGGATTGGACTACCTGAATAATCAGAAGTGATCAGAAGGTTATGGAAAATGCTAAAGGTGAAAGGGAATTAATTCAACATTTTGAGGATGAAAACAGGAAAAAAAGATGTCCTTGTGTCTTAAACATAAATTAGTAAATAAAAAGGGCTGGGCATGGTGGCTCATGCCTATAATCCCAGCAGTTCGAGACCAGCCTGAGCAACGTAGCCAGACTTCATCTCTACAAAAATTAGAAACGTTAGTTGGGAGTGGTGGCGCATGCCTGTAGTCCCAGGTACTTAGGAGGCTGAGGCAGGAGGATTGTTTGAGCCCAGAAGTTTGAGGTTGCACTGGGCTACAATGACGCTACTGCACTCTAGCCCCAGCAGCAGCGAAACCTGGTCTCAAATAAAGGGGAACCACACATAAAGCACAGAAAACAACCAGTAATTCATGGAATAAAATGCCATCTACTTGGAGAATGTGCAAGTGAAGACAGAACAGGGAACCAACAATTCAGAGAGGTGAAGGGTAGGGAGAGACTTTCACCGTCAACACTGTGGATTCAGGAGACAGTGACCATGATAATGAGGTAAGAGTTAAGATTATTTAAAGATAAAAGGAAATATAAAATGCTGTTACAGATACTCCTGAACTTACGATGGGGTTATGGCCTGATTAACCCATAAGTTGAAAATATTTTAAGTCAAAAATGCATTTAATATACCTAATCTACTAAACATCATTGCTTAGCCTCGCCTACCTTAATTGTGCCCAGAATGCTTACATTAGTTTACAGTTGGGCCAAATCATCTAACACAAAGCCAACTGTATAATACAGTGTTTGATCTCTCATGTAATTAATTGAATACTATACTGAAAGTGAAAAATGGAATGGTTGTATGGCACTTGAAGTATGGTTTCTACTGCATGAGTATCATTTTCACATCTTTGTAAAGTCAGGTAATTGTAAGCCAAACCATTTTAAGCCTGGGAACAGTACTTACTTAGCAGGGAACAAGTCGTAGTGTAAGCTAAATCCTCATTTTTTTGTAGCAGGGAGTTAATAGATGTCTTCAGGGTAATCAAGACACCTGTTATCAAGAAAATGAATTTAATGGTGAAGAATTAAGGGAACCCCTAGAACAGAGGTCCCCAACCTTTTTGGCACCAGGGGCCAGTTTCACAGAAGACAATTTTTCCATGGACCAGGGGCATGGGGCTCAAGATAGTGATGTGCAGCCCACTGCCTAACAGGCCAAGGACTGGTACTGGGCCGTGGCCAGGGGGTTGAGGACCGCTGCCCTAGAAGAACTAAAGGTAGCACTAGTTGAAAGTGGTGCCCCCAGCAATGAAACTTGGGGTAGGGCAGACACTTGTTGCTCAGTTATAAACCCAATTTACTATAAAAATTTCACCACATGCATGTAACAGTTTGATTAAATGTCAAACTGATATTATACTTCACAAGTAAAGAAGTGAAATACCATTTTCTTGCCAGGCACGGTAGCTCACGCCCATAATCCTAGCACTCTGGGAGGCTGAGGCCGGAGAATTGCTTGAGGTCAGGAGTTGCAGACCCCATCTCTACTAAAAATAGAAAAATGAACTGGGCATGGTGGCATGCACCTGTAGTCCCAGCTAGTCGGGAGGCTGAGGCAGGAGGATGGCTTGAGCCCAGGAGTTTGAAGTTGTTGTGAGCTGACGCCACAGCACTCTAACACGTGCAACAGAGTGAGACTCATTTTTACCCATAAAAATGGCAAGAAAAGGCTGGGCGTGGTGGCTCACGCCTGTAATCCTAGCACTCTGGGAGGC